GGGCGAGAATTAGAGGGTGCCTTGGGCCGGCCTGACACGGAGCGAGGGACCTTAAGGAGCACACAGCCCTCCGCGAGGACCCCGCCGTGACAGCCTCCAAAGCATGAAATGTTGGTCTTGTTCTCTTGGCACCTCAGCCTACTCTTAATGAAAACTATAGCAAAATGCCAATTGACTTCAAACAAGAGCAAGTTCTTTGCCTTCAAATATTTTAGCTGTTTCATTAGTTAGATAAAAAAATACTTAACACTATACTTACGGGAGAAGCACTTCTTGAACGTTATTCCAGATTGATTTACCCCCTACTATTATTGCAAGCTGAGTGGTAAGTTCTAGGAGACATCCACCTGGATCACACTACAGGTTAGAAAGGCATGAAAAATTCTCAAAGCCATGTTATGCTTTGGGCACAAGTGAAGTGTTCTTTTTAAAAAATGAAGTACAAATTTTATTTCAATTAATGTTATTTTAACCGTTTTTAAAAACAGAACAACTGAGGTAAAACCTTCTACTAATTGTGACTTTTGTCTAAATAGACTAAATCTGACACTTGTCTAAGCAGGCACGTTCCAGGCTATGCAACCTCCTCATGCTGCACTGTCAGCATAAGAAGATCACTGCCAAACAAGGGGGTTCTCAGTGGATGGTTGAGGACATTGTGCCACCTACTCCCCAATGCCAACATATCTAGCCTGCCCCGAGAGAGAATCCGAGTGACTGGACCTTTGTTATGCTCTGCTAAACCCCAGCTATTATAGCAGTCCCTATAATAAGGGTACGTTGACAGTCAGAGGATTTTTAGGAAACTTTCAAACTACTATAAATTGTGCTGGATGCTGATATACTATGCAGCTGGCCTAGAACAGGGCAAGCAAGGGACAAGGCTATATTTTGAACCCCTGTTTCTGAGGTGCATTGGGCATTCCCTGGCTAATACCTCTAACTGCTAATAATTAGGATGTTGTAGTACATTCTTACCTCCTCATTCCTGTATTTTCCTAGCCAATAAACTGGGTCCCCAGGGTAACCTACAAATTTGCCCTTAAAGAATGCAATGTAGAAACACGAAGAATAATAGTTGACAAACTGGAATAAGAACATCTTCATGGTCAGGCTGTTTTCATAATCAGTCTGTGTTCTTGGAAGTTCTGTAGTTAAAAAAAAAAAAAAAGTGTTAACCCATGAATGACTTTGGAGCCTCAGTCAAAAAATCTGCATGAGCCTTGCATGCCAGAATACAACTACATCATTATTATCTATGTAGTTTAGTACCTCTTAATATACTGTAGCTATTATGCTAATTCTAAGACTGTATTTGTTGTAAAAAGTAAAGAGTGTATTTGTGGCAGGGTACTGTTTGTGCCTGCCACTTTAAGGGCCAGAAGACAGCAGCTGGCAGGGGGCTAATGAGGGCAGCCATTTTGGATTCAGGGCTGCCCATATAAACAGGGCATTTTGCTGCTGGAAGGCCAGGAAACAACATCACCTGGGTTCAGGGCTGTTGGTATCACCTGGAGGTAAGGGAGGAGCTGAAGGGGATGGTCAGGAGGCTCCTGGTCCTGGGCATGACCTAAAACTGTACCCTGATGGGAGTGGGTGGCCTGGTGGGGCTCTCAGCGGTGCAGCAGCCCCCAGGAAATGCCAGGCCAGTTACCACCCTGGTGAAAGGCGGGTCAGGGTGCCTTAACCCCTAGCCCCCACAACTGGGTGGGCTACCCCCTTTCTAGGGTCTAGAAGGTGGACCCCTGAGAGTGAGAGTCAGGCTATAGACTCTTAACCTGTCTTGACATCCCCCGACTGGTCCATGCTGGGGCCAGGACTGGAAGGGTCGAAGGGCTGGGGGCCCACCGCGAGGAACGCCCAAGAGCTGAGGGCCTGGGGTTCCGACTGGCCTGGAGGTGGGCCAGGGCTAGTAGAGCCGAAGGTCCCGGGGGGACCACACCCATAAGGGGGAAGCAGCTCAGGGAGCTATGCAGCCAGGAATGAAGGCAGAATAGGCTGCCTGAACGGAGGGATCTAAGTGGGGTCCAACTAGTAGGATTCTGAGGCCCAGTGCGGGCCTGTGATATGGATAACATCTGGATGCCATCTGTGAGGCTTGGGCTGCGGTGTAGGGGAGGAACGGAGCCGCAGATAACGCCCCCTGGCATCAGGGCAAGAAACAGGCAGCCTCCCGCTTATTAACATCTAAATTAATTAATTAACAACAAGGTGTGGCGGGCGAGAAGGCGGGCAGGTAGCCCAGGAACAGGTGGGCAGGCCACTGGAAAATCGGCCCCGAGAAGTCCCCTGTTACACTATTCTTTGACACTTAAAGAAAAAAGACTAAGCAAAAATTCAGTATCGCTCACAGAAAAAAGCCTGGCACACTCAATTTATAACATAATACTTTGAACTGATGAAAATAAAACAATATTGAAATACCACACTACTTTACGCATCTAAAGATTTGTTGAAGAAAACATAACTAAAGTAGAATAGCAACTTTAATGCAGCTGGCCTGGTCAGAAACAAATAGTAATATTTGTGACTGTTTATTTATTTGATAACACGGGAATAATTTCTAGCTTTGGAATGGTGACCTTATTATATCTATTTATAAGAAAAAGGCTATTCTCTCTATAAACAAAAGCTAATTTAATTGAATGTGTTGTGTTACTGATGTTTTCATAAAGCTTGGATATTATAGTAACCTTCTTTGCCCTGTCTGTTTCACAAATACAATGCTGTAAATAATTGATCTTTCATGCTGGCTATATAAGAAGTTTTGATGCAAGATGTTAAGCATCTTATTTCTTTGATAGCAGTGAAATTTTGAACTCGAAAAATTCTAGAAGTCATTGAATGCTATGTTGAGAAAATTCCAAAATGCATAGTACAGCTGGTATTTATTGAAATTCTTATTATAAGAGTAATATTGTCTTTTATTGTTATCTTAGACAAAGTTTCTATCTTAGCTACAACATAACCTTACCATAGTCAGTAATCATGATTGCCACTTTTTCATAGATGATGTTCAGAATCATAATGATTATAAAGCTGATGATTGAAGCAGTGACTGAAGTGGCTGTCTGTGGAGTCAGGTACTTCTGGATTGCCTCTGTTCCATTAATGTGCCGTGGAAGTGTTGAAGAAAACACAAGAAAAACTGAGAGTCTGTAGATGATGATTCCAATAACAGAAGCAATAATCAAGAGAATCTGAAAACACAGTACGGTAAATATATTTGAGTTAAATAATTTGGGTTGGGAAAAACAGTGAGTTTAAAATATGTATTACATAGGGCAAAGTGAAATGGATTGGACTCTCCTTTTACCCTAGCTCATAAGGTTGTTCAGCGCAGATAAAGGTCAATGAATTAGAATCCATAAAAAGTCATTGTACAGCACACATGCGAGAAAAAGGTATGGACTATTTTATAGCCAATAATAATGTTTGTAGCTATGCAAGCTAAGATAATGAGGAGGGCAATCAAATCTTATGATGGTCATTTTCAGGAGTTAGGAAGGAATCTTTTCTTCCTCTTACTCCATTTATTTAAAGCACTGCATAACTGGCAGGACTGCACAATGGATGAAAATCCCTGTAGAAGAGGTGGATACTGTTGTTGTTAGTGACGCAAAATAAGCAACTGCACCCAAGAGAAACAGGCAAATTTTAAGCAAAGTCATCTGATATGCATTGGTTGAAACCATACTTTCCTAGTCAGTGGTCTCTT